CTTAAAATATTACGCGACTAGATGTTAGGCAGTTCTACAGTATGACAGGAAAAAAGCCATTTCGAATCAGAACTTGAGCACCTTGTGGTAGATTTCCATGTAAAATACTATCGTTTCTCTAGCACTTTTTGAATATCTCAAACTGAAACTTTCTAAGTAGGAGCAAAATATTTTTGTTAGGTAAGAACAACTATGACATGCCAGTCAAAACGAAAAAAAAATCAGGAATCTGTCAAAGGTAAATTTATCAAACGTTCGAAAAACTTTGTTTTGAACTTCTGCTCTCTCAGTCCATAGCCAAGTACGAAGAGCAGGAAAATAATGACTACGTTTGACAGCCTGACTGCATGCAGAGCAATGATCTGCGGAGTTCCAAATTCTCCTCTAAGACGACAACTGCTATCCGAAGAACTCTGATGTCAATCCAGAGAAACAGAAGGCAGCTGCTTGCGCAGGCAAGTTCGGAGCCTTTTTTCAACAACTACTTTATTAATCATCCGTTCTAGCCAAATTCATAAGCAAAACGTTTCTCAATTGAAATGTCCGAGGCGATGCCAACTTTTCAATATTTTGATACATGTAACCTCTTACTGTATCGTCGAAAGAACAATTCTGAGCCGGGTGCAGATCAGCCTTTACCTTATTCACTGCCGCTGCATGATCGACGTCAGTAGTCTCTTTCCGTGCCAACAGGGAACCATAGAGCAATGGTAAAAGGTATATACTTAGCCAATTCTCAACCACAAATCCTACTTTCTTAATCTCTCCATCCTCAAAGGACATCTGTGCTCAAAAGAGAGCAGCCATTCGTAACGTAGTTCATATGTAGAACCTTCATCACGTGTCGAAGCCACAGCTGACGCACGCTGCTAAAATGTCATTCTTACTCTTTCGTTAGAACAACCGTGTCCATGACATACAAGACGTAACCTCGCCGGCCTGGAACGTAAATTCCGCTTTCTTCAAGAATCTGTTTCAGATCTGCTTCAACTAATAAGGTAAAAAATGTTAGCACCAAACAACACGGAGCAGCACTCCTGAGAGAAGAGACGAGTTTTAACTCCCCCCCCCATATAAACGACCCGCATCATATTTATGGCCTACACGGTGATCAACCCAACCTTCTATATCAAAACCACTTCTTCCTTTGTCTACATTCAAGAAACAACATATGCAAATTCTTCCATGCGAAACCTATTATCACACAAAACAATTTTCAAACCCGTAGCTTAGCGCATCCCTACCGTCATTGGCCTAGATGACTTTTGGCACTAGTATGTTTTGTTTATGTTTTGTTAATCGCTGAAGACAAGCATCCGATCAGTTTAAATAGTATATTTGCTCCTATTCTCATGAAATCAGAATCCATTGCTGATCGACCGCTGATAAGGCTGATAATTAAGGCGGATTTGGATCACATCCGAGTGATTTCGATGTCTGTCAGTAGCTTGTGATTTGTCGCCACAAGCTTTCACGTCTCTTTAGCTCCTCGTTCCATGTTAACAGAAATCGTCCAAGTGTTCGTCTGTCCCTCATCTTTCAATCGTACTATATGAAACATCCAATTTCTTCCCATCGACATTCACCACCGATACAACACATTCAATTAATCGGTTTTATAATGTTTATTCCGCCGAGTGGCTTTGATCTGAGCTCGAACATCCTTCTCTTGAGAGCCTCGCTGTTGCAGGCTAAATGATTCCTCGTCGATTTGATTAAAGCTCAGGCTCGCCACCGCGGATGAACCTTCGGGCAATACTGTGCCTTAATAATTTTACAGTATCTTCTTTCAAAGAAAGTATACTTTGTTTTATGTACATATTCAACGCTGCACCAAATAAGTCTGAGATCATCAGCATTTCAAAGTGAACATATTCACGACTAACTATGCTTGGTAGTTACTGTTGTCAAATATAGCTGGTTGTACGAATTCAGCTTTCGCCCTGTTCATCTGAAATCCTCCTTGCCTGTTCTTTAAGTCTAGCAAGCTTGACATCGCTTCCACTGCTTTTGCTTGTTTCCTTGTGAGTAAGCCGAAGATGAGTTAGCCGTCTGACGTTAAAAGAAAAGCCTCCATTTGGTTTCATTATGCGAATTATTGATTCGAAACATGCCGCCGACAACTCCTACAACTGACTGATCCTTCTTCGTAACTGACCAGAATAAATAACCGTTGCAAGTCTCGATGCCCCTCTCTGCACTTTTCTATCTCGTGTGATTTATCGCCATAAATTTCTGTTTCATTTGCACATCATTTCATCAAAGCCGAGGTCTTGCAGTTGAGTGAATGTAGCCCTATGGCTATAAATTACTCAACACTGATATCCATCGGTCGTACGATGTGACATTCACTTTTGGTTTTCTTACATCTAATTTCTTTTTTAATTTTTTGGCTCGTCTCTGGTGGAAATTTCAAGAACGGTTCTTTCCATAGCGCTGCCTCACCCTAATCAGCTTTCAATCTGCAATAAATTAATGAATGAATAGAAGAGTGAATGAATGGAAGAAAGAAAGATTCATAGTATTCAACTAGCGAGGCTGCATTTTAAACATATCGACTGAAACGTGTTCTACAACAACAAAAGTCAAAGCCTCAGCTAGAAAAAATTGCATCTGAACGGTTTCAGATGTATATAACAATTCCTCTCTAGGAGCAACAACACTGACGCTTCATTT